TCTCCCATTTACTTGCTTGTATCGCATTTTCAATAAAAAGGCACGATGATTCCTAACAGTTGTCACTCCTCAGAGAGCAATCTCTGGGAGTGTCCGGCTGAGGACGTGCATGAAAAGGCACCGAGACATTAGTCTTCCTTTCCAGCGTCGCCTCCATCGAGTCAACCCACCAGAGGCTGGTCCCCGGCACTGGTGGTTAAGAAAGTTAGATTCCAGTGGCTGAACATGTGGTTCAAATCCCAGCCCCCAGCTGCTTAAAAAATGTGCACGGTGCATGTACATGCATGCCCCAAATTCCAGCAATATGGAGAAGTGGAGAAGGGACTGGCATGACCATGCCCTGTTGGAAGGTGCTTTCTCCCTCTTCCTCTCTCTCTCTTTCTCATGTGAGCACATGTACCCTCTGGCCAGAAAAAAGAAAAAAAAACCCTCATCAAAGGGGCTAATCAAAATAAATACGCAAAGTCAACATTCCTATATGGCAGCAATAAAATATCATTTTTAAAGATTCTATTCCAAATGGTAACAATAAAACATAAATATAGAGGGATAATCAAAATGGAAAATGTATCTGACTAATATGAAGACAATTAGAAAAGTTCACAAAGGTATGTTTTAAAATAACTTGATATGCAGAGATAGCATGTTAACTGATGACATGTCAAAATAAAGAAATTAAGATGGTTTAAGAAATTAATTTATAGGGCCGGCCGTACAGCGCAGAGATGAGTGCTGTGCAGTGGGAGCTGGATCCCACAAGGCTGACCGTGGTTCACATTCTGGCCCCAGGCAGCTCTATCACACACCAGGCACAGATGTGTGCATGCCCCAAATCCTGACCGAGGGAGAAACAGGAAGGGGGACTGCAGCATGAGCACACTCCACAGGGAGGGGAAGGTGCGTTCACGCTCTTTAACAAGCACAGGTGACTTTTGTCAACAGAAAAGAAATCACAAATTATTTCTCATTTTTAAACGTAATTCCTACCTTACATCCCAAAATGCTTTTCTGCTTTTAACTTGATTAAATAGTTTTAAAATTTAACTAAGTGGCCAAGGTGCTGGACTCCCACGTGGTCGACCGCGGTTAAAATCCCAGACCTGGCAGCTTGCTTTCTCACATTCCTTCTCTCTTTCTCTCTCTGGGGATCACACATGCCCTATAGCAAACTACAGAAGGGGGGGGGCACAGCCAGGTGATGTGGTGTTAAGGCAGCTGCATCCCACATGGTCAACTTTATGGTTTGAGGCCTGCACCCAGTGGCTTGAAAAGCATACCAGGCGTGTATGCATGTTTGCCCAAAATTCTGAGGAGACTGGAGAAAGGGATTGTGGCTTGGTCAGACTGCCTGGGGGTGTGTGTCTGTCTCTGTCAAGCACATATGCCCTATAGCAAAACTAAAAATAAATTAAAATATAAACCGTGATCCTTGGGGCCAGCAGGAGGTGTGGTGGTTAAGGGTGCTGGACTCCCACATGGCTGACTGGGGTTTGAGTCCTAGACCTGGCAGCTTGCTTTCTCACTTTCTCTCTCTCTGTCCCTCTCTGGTCGAATTAAAAAAAAAAATAGATAAATAAAATAATACTTAAAAAAAAAAAAGAAAAAATGTGGGGAACCAGCAGTTAGCGTAATGGCTATGTCGCTGGACCCCCCCCGA